AGATTTCTGGTTCCATGTTATTGTGGGGTTGAAAGGTTTTCTGCAGAGCCAGCAGTGAGTCAAAGAAACAAGCAATTCATACCTTAGTAACATGACCTAGTAACGACCACCACATGATTTGTGGAGCTGGAGCATAATTTTCTTTAAACTTGTTTTTAATACATTGTGATAAAGTAACTTAAATTTTTGAGAAGCTGAAAATGTTACACACTGATTGGTTCCCTTTGTGTTTCACCTACTTTATAATTTGTTTTACATCTCTATACCTTTGAAAGGGTTATTTTATTTATCCATAAATGACCTTTTCTCATTTGTTTTCCTTTTCTCATTTTAAATCCAACTTTTTTGTTGGAAACTTCTATCTTTTTTAAGAAATATTGTCTTTTGGGCAACCCATTTGGGGACCCCTCCAATGTCTGAAGAGCTATTCCTATTCCCCATACTCATTCCCCCCAAATTTTCCTACTCTTAAACTCTGTTCTTCCTTAGAATTCATTCTTCGACTTTGGGGAATACGAACTCGGTGTATCTGACATTTAGCAGGTTGGGAGGTACATATTTTCCCCTATATCATTTTGGAGGTTCCACCGAAATACTTGGAAGGTGATGTAAAAGCCACTGTACAGAGTCTGGAAAAGCTTTCTTGGCCTGGGGATGGGTCAGTAGCAGGCAACGAAACGAACAAATGATATGGATACCAAAAGAGGACATGATTTGACTTCCCTCAACAGTGAGAGGTATCTCCTAGATGACAACTAAGGAAAACTATCCAGGAGTTAGAAAACTCCACTATCGTGGAGGCCTGCCTGGCAAAGGACATTAGGTAAACCCTTTGGAAAATGTCTTTGACTGCACTCAAGGAGTGATTACATGTTACATGTTAGGGAGCAGTTAAGATAACTGAGATTAAATTGTTTACCAGAAAATGTACTGATGGATATAGAAAACAAATCGATCTGATATTACTTGATTGTTTATGCTCAGTGATAAAAATCTTTGAAATCTACCTGGCGATGGATGGCTACAAGCTGCATTGTGACAACAACAATGTGATTATATATGCCACTGAGGGGATGAGATGTGGGGTTTTACTTCTGCCTATACTTAAGCCTGGGCATCTGAGAGTATCTGAGGACACTTAAGGACATGACTCCGCTCTCAGGGACATGCACATAATGGGCCACAGTTATCTAAGAGTGACCTAACATACTCAACCACACATGTGCAGTATGGACAAGGTCATGCAGCAGGTGTTTAGTCTCACTGTGTCTCAGTAAGCAGATAAGACTAACTATTGTGAAATAGAGAACACTGTAACTCTTTTAATTACTGTTTTGCTGAAGGAATAAAGACATGCAGCTTTTGAGCTCTGGAACTGCAGCCCCAACTCTCATGCTCTGATGTTGTCCTGATGCTGATTTAAAAAAAAAAGTTTATCTAATTCAGCTGCTTATTTAAAATAAAGTTTCTTTGAGCTCTAAAATATAGTAATTCTCTTTACAGTATTATCTAAGCACCTTTTTTTTCTAACTTCAAGTTAACTCACTCCTTTATTCCTTCTTCTTTTCTTCCTTCTGCCCTCCTTCCTTTCCCTTTCTTCCTCCATCCATTCATCATGGTGGGGAGACCATGGTTCATTGACCAATTGAAATTAATATTAATAGTTACGAAGTTGAGAGGAAATCAAAAAGCCTGTGACTTCAACATCCTTTTCAGGCTACTTGTGTTAAATATTACTTAGATTTATGATCACATTTTGAAGTTCTCATTGATAACAGCTTCGTGCACTAGAAGAACTTGCGAAAAGACAGAAGTGGACTACTTTGATTGTATTTTTCTGTATTCCCTCTCTTTTTTTGGGTACCAGGAATCGAACTTAGGACCTTGCACTTGTGAGGCAGGCGGCAGCACCACTGAGCTAAATCTCAGCCCTGTGTTTCCTCTTACAAAGGAGTGATAGTAATAAGCAATCATCACCCTCTTCCTTTTACTGGGGATTGGACCCAGAGCCTCACACATGCTAGGCAAAAGTACACTGCCATTGAGCTACACCCCCAGGCCTTTTTAGAAATGTTATTTTGATTAATATTATTGTTATTATTATTTTTTTGGTACCAGGGATCAAACTCGGGACCTTTTGCTTGTGAGGCAGGCTGCGGAACCACTGAGCTAAATCCCTGGCTAGAAATGTTATTTTGAGATAGAGTCTTGCTAAATTGGTCACACTGGCCTGGAACCTTTAATTCTTTTACCTTAGTCTCTTGAGAAGCTGGAATTGATTACAAGCATATGTCAACAAGCAATTACTCTTTGTTGTCATCACTACTAGGATCTGTGAAAAGAGGAGTGTAAAGAAACTTAATGGTGTTCACAGTAACAGTTTTTCCTGGTGATCCAGTGGCAACAGGTTTCATCAACTGTAATTCCTCAGAAAAAGAGGAGAAAGGTGCAAGAAACCAGCATTTTAGGGATCTTATTTTAATGCTATATATAGGAATGTGGCAGATTTAGATAGTTACCTTGGCTTGTTGAACTACCCACATATAAATTTTACTGCAGGAAAAAAAAGATGAGAATTAATCCTATTAGAATAGGAACCTTGCCGGGCATGGTGGCTCACATCTGTAATCTCACACTTGGGAGGCTGAGGCAGGAGCATCGTGGAGAGTTCAAGGTCAGCCTGGGCTACATAGTGAGACCCTGTCTCAAAACAAACAAAACAAGAAAAAAACAATAGCCTTATAAGCTCAGGATACCCCCGGCAATGTTCTTCTAGGGTCATAAGGGTATGAAAGAAATGTGCAAGGATGCTAGAAACTTACACTTCATAGTGGGCTTCATACTATTGAGATATACCTATGATTTCTTTTCTTTTACATCCTGTCTCTCTTTGTTCTACTATCATCTGAACAGACCTTTTGTGGGATTTACTGTACCATTAGTAATTTATTTAATGTCTTTCTTCATTGTAAGACACAAGCAAAGCCTGTACATTTGCCTGTGGCCGAGTATTATAAGGCATACGAGCCTGTGCCATTAGAAGGTGACTATTCAGTTTAAGTTGGATGCGTTAGAACATAATTTCAGCAGCTTTACTGATATTTGTAAAACATTCATTATATTTTTTTTCATGCTTCTCATGTATTTTTTTTTTTGGTACCTGGAATCGAACTTGGGACCTTGCACTTGCGAGGCAGGCAGCGGAACCTCTGAGCTAAATCCCCGGCCCCCTTCTCATGTATTTAACCCAATTCTTAATTGGAAATGGACTGGTGCCATAATGTGAAGAATTCTAGCTAAAAGAAACAGCTTGAATACCTTTGCCACATCTCAAGATTCCGGTCTTCTATTTTAATATTGAGTAAAATGTTGAGGAGCTGAGACATAAGAACAGCTCAGAGTGCTGAGACCTTATGTGGTTTAACCTCCCTCCTTCCTACCTCTTGTTTTCTGACCTCAACTCTTAATATTCTTGCCTTAACCACAGGTCCTTCATCCTTGCTCTTTTTGGAATTTGCCACGGGTATTCCTGCCTCAGGGACATTTTACATTCTTCCTTCTTCTGGTACTTTACTCATAGATATCTACCAGCTTGCCCTCTTACTTTCTTCAGATGTCATCTTTGATCCCCCCCCCCGCCTGTGTATGAAAAGTAATATACCCATACCCCCACTTTCTTTCTTTCTGTGGTACCATGTGGCATAATATACATCCTCTCTGCCCCAGTTCCTCTAGGACAGGGTCTGGGTTTGTACATTGTTGTATGTCTAACATCTAGGATGGTGCCCAGAACTGGACCTAGCCCTGAGTAGAATGAGGAAATTCTTTCCCTTCTCTTTTAGTGTATTTCTACATGGAACAAAACCCTTTTTTATTAATTAGTCTAATTATAGAGATTAAATGACAGAAGAACCTTTTTTCTTTGTGTCACTTTTGTTGGTGGTTTGGGGTACTTCCTATTAAAAGATTTGAAAATTAAGATGGGCATATAATTTAAATGGAATAAAGAAACTAAAATATTATTAATGTGGAAAAAATAATTTTACACACTATTCTTTCTTCAAGGGAACATAGACCCTCTCTATTATGTCCCCAAAACGTACCTCTCCATTTGTATTCTCTGTTGCTAAAATTCCTCATACTATTACATGAAAATGTGAATATCTGAGCATATATACACACATATGTACACATATAAATATAAATGGGTTTTTTGTTTTTGTTTTTTTGAGTCAGGGTCTCACTGTGCAGTATAGGCTGGCCTCGAACTCACTATGTAGCCCAGGCTGGCCTCAAACTTGTGATGATTCTCCTGTCTCAGCCTCCCAAATACTGGGATTACAGGCATGTGCCACCATGTCTGGCTTACACATAAGAGTTTTATGGTTAGATAAATATATCCTTAGTAAAGGAGGTAGGAATAAACATTGTAGAAATTCAGGTATAAATAGAAAGTTCTAAAATAAATGATGACTACTTGAGGTGAAGGGATTGCTTTAGAAAAAAAGACTTAAAATTGTAGTAATTATATAGTAGAAATATATAAAATTTTTTGTTTTCTAAATAGAAATATGAAAAGAAATAGTTTTATTTTATTTTGATTTTGTGTATCATTTGTAGGAGTTCAGTAGGCAATTACTTTGGTATCTTAATTTGTGCTTAGAAAGGTATGAATTATTTTTATACTTCTTTTTTTTGTACCGGGGATTGAACTCAGGACCTTGCGCTTGGGAGGCAGGCGCCAGAAACTGAGCTAAATCCCTAGCCCAGGTATAAATTATTTTAAGGGTAGGAAATCACTATATTCCTTTTTTTGTAGCCATTTCTAAAGCAAATCAGCTATAGAAATTATTTTTCTGCTTTCATTCCAGTGAATTCACTTATTTAGAGTGGCTTTCTTTTGAACCAATTCTGTTTAAGACAGATCTTTAGATAAATGTTAATGACTCACAGTATGTGCTCATTCATTATGTTTTCCTTTATATGTTGTAAAATTCTAGCATTTGAAGCCACTATTTTTGAAGGAAGTTGGTAGTCACTTTGATGATATTGTGACCAGCCTCATTGAAAAATCTGCCTCATTAGACAACGGTGGGAGTGCTCTTACAACTTTTTCCATTCTTGAAGAAATGAAAACCAACCACAGAACTAAGTAAGTATGTATGTTGTTTTCTCTTAATGTAAATATCTACTCTAGCATAGCCCAGGGTCAGAATGTAGACTACGGTAAAGCCTTGATTCATATCCTGTAACTACTTTTTATTGGGTGTATGTTAAATTGGGAAAGTTATTTAATCCCTTGAAGAGTGATTTTTTTTCTTCTTAATATGTGGATTATAACATACACGCATACCTCTTAAGAATACTGGCAGCTGGGCATGGTGGCACACGCCTGTAATCCTAGCACTTGGGAGGCTGAGGCAGGAGGATCACCATGAGTTCAAGGCCAACCTGGGCTACACAGAGTTCAAGGCCAGCCTGAACTACATATCAAGATGCTGTCTCAAAAAAAAAAAAAAAAGAAATACTGGCTAATAAAATAAAATAATAGAACCAATGATTAAGTGCTTTGTATGTAATAACTTATTTAAATGAAATAATGACCTTATGAGGTACTATAACTGCACATTACAGATTATTAAGCTGAAGCATAAAGCACTTTAATGTTGTCGAAGATTATAATGTAGAGATTTGAATCCAGAGTCTGTCTCTAAAGTCCTTGCTTTTAATCACATCATTATATAACTCCCTATTATTATTTGTAGTCTGTACATTATACTTGTAATAATGTAGAGTACACTTGTTACATAGTTTTCTAACTGGCCAGTCCAGAATAAAAGAGGAAGGCTATCAAAGGCTAATGTATGCTAATTTGCCTTTCTGGTGTGTCCTCAACTTATGCCCTGTGGTCTCTGTGCTAATCTTGCCCGTTCTGGAGAACAGTTCTGAGCGCAGTAGCTGACAGAAGTGCTGGTGTTACAAACTTCTAAAGGAGATGGTAATGCTACATGCTAAAATATGTTTTTAATACCTGGAGGCAGCCATAAAGATTGTTGGGGGTTGTGAAAGTCCTTTGGCATTAGGAAAGGTATCATAAATATCAGTGCAGTTTTGGAGGACAAACCCTTAACCATATATGCCTGGAGTACAGTATGGCTGGAGCATTCTCCATGACCTCAGGGAATATCCAAGAGTAAGAAGAGTGGTTGCCAACATGTGATTTAGGGAATGCCTTTCCATAGGGCCTGAGTATGGAGACCTTTTGAGTGGTGCTGAGGATAGATGCGTCTGACATCTCTTCTATCCTAAATAGGTATGCTTGCATCTGCCTCAAAATTGTTCATAAATGTCACCTGCTAGCATGGGGTGCTAGCGAGGCATGGTTGGAAATCACACATAGGCCAGGTTCAAGACTAATGTAGTTTATGGTAGGAAAGAAACACAGACAACAAAGCTACTCCACAGACAGAGCAGTTGAGTACTCCACAGAGAGTCACCATGCACAAAGGAGGCATTTTACTTTTATGGGGCCCCTCCCTGCTCCCTGTGTGTCCTGCTTCCTTATCCTGTGTATATTTGCTTTCTTTCTCTCTCTTACCACCCAAAAGTAGGGCTCCCTGCTTGTCTCCTGTTAGGTGGCTACTTCATTGCCTCAGTTATACATCTGGACTTGAGTCAGATTGTCTGGGTTGAAATCCATCTCTATAGCTTCTCCTCTGTTTTGGGCTTGAGCAAGTGATTTCACATGCTTTAAAGTCCTTTTGGCTCCATGCCTCAAATGGAGTAAATGAGATAAACATGTATAAAACCTTAATACAGTACCTGGAAAACAGTGAAAAAATAATTGTTAGATGTTGGAATTAGTAATATTCTTTTCCTTGTCCATGGAATTATGTTTCTTATAATAGTTGGATTACTTATATTTTATTGTAATTTGTTGCTTTTCCCAGAGATATGAGAGCACCTCCAGAACAAGGAAAGGTTTTTATTTCAAGACGCTCTCTCTTGGAGTGAGTATTTTTTGCTTTTGTTATTAATTTGAATTACATAAAAAAGTTGACTTGATTCATATTTAATGAGTTTCTTCTGTATCCATATTAATCATTAGTTTTGATAATTCTTTTTGTATGTGTGCAGTCTCTTTCTTGCTTTCTTCTTCTTTTTTTTTTTTTGAGACAAGATCTTGCTATGTAGTTCAGGCTGGCCTTGAGCTCGCTATACAGCCAGGTGTGTGCCATCATTTTCTTCCTCTTTGTTTTTACTGATCTCTTGGTTCTGGATCTAGTTTTAAAGGAAGAGTTAGTGATTAGACCAGTTATCATCCTCTGAGAAATTCCTGAAGGTTGTATTGCAGAGAATTGTTTTGTCAAAGAGAAAATAAGTTGATTTTTTTTTTTTTTTGGTATCAGGATCGAACTCGGGTCCTTGCGCTTAAGAAAAGAAGTTTTTTTATTGAGAGAGTTTTGGAGTTACTGTCTTCCTAATATAATACATAAGTTATATTTTTCTTCTCTGTTTTTGGTGAGAGCCTAGTTTTCTTACTTATTTTAAAACCCTGATTGCCTAATATGTTTAAAATAAAATCCACATGATGTGAATTCATTGTGGTAACTGCATTTGTGAATTGACAATTAAAGTTGTACTTTAGGTACTTTCACATTCTCTGAGTAGTTTGTTTGCTCATTCAGTTATTTATTGGAATTCTTCTGAATTTTAACGTGGTTTAGTGATCATTTGAAATAGTTGGTTTGGTGAAAAATTATGTTGTCTTTTAATGTGTTTTCTTAAAAATGCACTTTAATGTTTATTAAAATTTACTTTATGAGCCAGATTGAGCTGTGCTTCTGTTTTTTGTTTTGTTTTTGAACTGTGATTCTTAACTCTGAGAAAGCTGGAGTTTTGTAAACATGCAATAAAATTCCATTTCAGTGTTTTGCCATAGTATTGTTTGAAGAGATTGATCTTTTAAAATTTATATCTGGGGGAAAATGTGGACTTCTTTTTATTTTTATTTTTTTAAATGTGGACTTTTCACAGAAAAGGGAAAATAAAACAATTATTTTGAACATATAATACTATATGAAAAATAAAAACTTTTAACCAAAAGAAAAACAATGTAATGAAGGGAATTGAGCACATTTTCTGTAGCTTAGGTGGGTTTTTATTAGAATTTGAAGAGATTTAGTAGCAGATTCCCCCAAAAAGTCACTTAGAAGTTTGGCATACCATTTTCCAAAAACAAGATTAAAAACTTCTTTTAATCATATAAAAAGGTATTTATTTAGGAAAAATCATCTACAAGGTCAGTGCTGTGTTTTGTTTTTTGCTTTTTTTGGTATTGGGATCGAACTCAGGACCTTGTGCTTGCGAGGCGGCAGGTGGTGGCACCACTGAGCTAAGTCCCCGGCCCCATCAGTGCTGTATTTTAAAACAGAAATAGCCCAGTCTTAGGTACAAATCAGTGAAGACAAACTAAAAGCATTTCTAAATGGCTAAGTTTTGTAGATATGTAGAGTGGTGGTTGGTTATCATCATAAACATAGGACTTAACCATGTCAAGTTTAATGTCCTGGAAATAGAATAGTACTACATGTGTAGGTATTAGTTAAGTGTAGGGAGTGGAATATAAGGATCAGATTAAAAAAAAAACCTTAGCATTTGAAATAGTTTCTGTGTTCCAAATTTTAGCACATGGTCTTTACATAGTAGAAAACTGTTTCTGTTGCATTTTCAAGATTGCAGACTATTTATAGAATTATTTGTATCCATGTTATTTTTTTTAGGAGGCATGGATATTTTGGTTGGAAAGAAAGGTTAATCTACATATTGTGATATTTTTTATTTTTTACTGTGGTCTTGTCCTTTAATACCTTTGTACCTTAGGTTTAATATTTTGTGCTTACTGGGCTTTTTTGAGATTTTTTTGAAGGAGGATTAAGCATCTTTTAAACTGCTTTAAAGAAGAATATGTACCAAGTGGTGTTCTAAAATTAAATATAGATTGTTAATTTGATTTGTTTGAACTACATTCACAGTGAGCTGTTTGAAGTGGACCACATCAGGACAATATATCACATGTTTATTGCCATTCTCATTATCTTCATCCTCAGCACACTTGTAGTAGATTACATTGATGAAGGAAGGTAAGACAACATAATGGATGATTGGTTAGTTGATGCATGAAAAGTTGGGGATTTTCACTAAATATTGGTAGTTTGGTGAAATTTGCTTCAGAAAATTCTAAGGTCACTAAATTTGAGGATGATAAATTCTTCTCTCCTGAAAAGTATAAAGAGAAAGCTAGACTTAGTTACATTTATTGTAAAAATACTTTCTTTGCTTATGCCAGAGACCAAACCCAGGGACTTGAACATGTTAGGCAAGCACTGTACAACTGAGCTACATCTCCTACCCCAGAATGCAATAAAACGTGATCAGTAGTTTCTGGGTAACTGTTCCAAATGGGATAATTTTGCATACATGACTTAGCAATTTTTATCTATGCTATGCATTTAACATCGTTAAAGTAAGTAGTTTACTGGAATTTTAAGTTAGAAAGAAGTGGTGTTTCTTTATTTTAAAAATCTATCATAACTTAAAAATGACAGCATGGTAATCATATATTGAATTATATGCTTTCTTGAAAATTAAAATTCAAGATTATAATAGTATATTAGTAGGCTTTTGAGTTTACCTATCTCCTTCTGAAAAATCATCTTTTGATTGTTATTGAATGCTTAATGTTGCCATAGAATACTTTGGAGTTTAAAAATATTAACGTGAGACTAATATTTCACAAGTTCAAAACCTTATTATCTTAGGTATCTTAAGTTCAGATCCATATTAGGGCTTAGAAATTTAATGTTGAGCTACACTGTGAAGCAGAGGGTTAGAAGCAAGTCATTATCTAGCAGGAGTATGATTACATCCATGACTTCAATGTATTAATGTTGTGATTTTTCTGTTTTAAAAGTATTATTTTCTACTTTATTCTTATTTCTGTATGTTGTAGTATTTCTTAAGGATGCAAGATTAGGGTCTAAAGTTTTAAATTCCATGAATCCAATACATTTTAAAAACTTACTTCTGCATTTTTTTCTCTGTGCTTTTTGTTCCCAGGCTGGTGCTTGAATTCAATCTCCTGTCTTATGCTTTTGGAAAGTTAACCATTGTTATTTGGACATGGTGGGCCATGTTCTTGACTACACTTTCATTTCCCTATTTCCTATTTCAATGTTGGGCCAATGGCTACAGGAAGAGTTCTCATCCAGTTATCTCTTCTGTTGTCTATGGCTTGTTCTTCACATTCTTCCAGCTTGGGATTCTAGGTGTGGGACCAACATATATTGTATTGGCATATGCACTGCCACCAGCTTCCCGGTTCATAATTATACTTGAACAGGTATGGTTTTGAGTGTTACCCAGTACGGCTTTGTTCTTAGTTAAAATAATAATAACGATAGGGATGTTTTTAGCTGAATTAATTTGGATACATTTTCATATATAGCTCTCTGTGCCATTACCTGTAGAATTAAAATATTAAATGAGATCATCTCATCCCTTAAAAATTCATTCTTTGTGCTCGCTTTGACAGCACATATACTAAAAATTCATTCTAGCTTCAGTGTTCTGTAGGTCTTCTGAATGGAGAAAATTATACTGAACTATCCTGGCTGAATTAAAAATATTTCTAATACTTTTTAGGGCTGGGGATTTAGCTCAGTGGTTCTGCCGCTTGCCTCGCAAGCACAAGGTCCCGAGTTCAATCCCTGGTACCAAAAAAAAAAAAAAAAATTTCTAATACTTTTTATAAAAGTCATCTAGATTATAAAACATATTTGTAATTAACTCCACTTTTGAAGTGTTAAGACTTCCTGTATTGTCATATAACTATTATCAACTAAATAAGAGATTAATTTTGTTTATATATTCTTCAGAATTTTCCAATTCATATTGTCTGTATGTAACATTCTATTTGACTAATGGAAAGGAGCATTTCCGGAAACTGTTTTTGGTGGTGGTGGTGGGGTCTCACTATGTAGTTCAGACTGGTTTGAACTCACAGCGTAGCCAAGGCTGGCCTCAAATTTACAGCAATCTTCCTCAAAGTCACAGCAGTCCTCCTGCCTCAGGTCCTTATCCCCAGTAGACTTTTTTGTTTTATTTGGTTTTTTTGGGTTTTTTCGGTACTGGGGATTGAACTCGGGACCCTGCACTTACGAGGCAGGTGGCGGCACCACTGAGCTAAATCCCCAGCCCCCAATAGACTTAATTTCTTAATTTATGATATATCTGTAATATATGCCAAGTAGGTACAAAATAATTTTTTGAGTAGTCATATGTCCTTTTTTGGAGATTTTTTAAAAAATTGCATTATTTTGAAACAGTGAACTTGAATTGATACTGTATGCAAAATTAAGTAGTTCTTTTTGTGCGAATATAATCTTATGCTATTCTGAAGTTGCTTATAAGAGACAAGTCAATGATAGAAAGTTTATCTTTTTCTTTCCTCTTGTAGATTCGTTTGATAATGAAGGCCTATTCATTTGTCAGAGAGAATGTGCCAAGGGTACTACATGCAGCTAAGGAGAAGTCAGGTAGGTAATTTCTTTAATTTAAAGAAGTATTGATAGACTATTTCAACTATGGGATACATATTGATTTGAAAGACTATCTTACTGTTTACCAATTATTCCAGTATTCTTGCCTTTTAAAAATTAAAAAACATTTAACAAAAAATGTTTATTTATACATTTTTATGAGGGGCCTTACTATGTTGCCCAGGCTGGCCTCAACTTGCAGATCTCCTGCCTTAGCCTCTTGAATAGCTAGGTTATAGATGTGTGTGCTTTTGCACACAGTGCTGATTATTCCTATTTGTCCTAGTACCTATAAAGAAATTGCTCATTTGACTCTTCTGTAACCTAGCTTCCACTGACTATTGCTCAACTTATTACATCTGTGCTTGTTTATTCTTTGTAAATTGTTGCTTCACACATTAGAAGTTACTCAACCACAGGGATAATTTAGAGAGATTGGTAATACTCAGTAAGTGCAAAAAAAAAAAAGTACACAACATGAACTAAGAGGTTATATTCTTTCCTGTTCTGTGCTTCCTTGTTTTTTCCCTTTTAGCTTTTCTGGGAGAAATCAAAAGCCTTTGATCTGGTTTTCCTTTTCTAGGCACAGTTCCAATACCCACAGTCAACCAGTACTTATACTTCTTGTTTGCTCCTACCCTTATCTACCGTGACAGCTATCCCAGGTAATAGTGCTATGAATATGAAGTACAACTGTGGTGTAAAACAGAGCTGTGGTGTGAGTGAGGGGAGAAAGGGTGGCAGGAGTCACTTCATGTAGGTCTACTGAGAAAAATACCATGTGTCTTCATTTTCTTTCTGCCATAAGAAGCTTCATGTGGTCATTCTAGCATTCTAATTTGATAAATAGCAATTCTGGATAGAATTAAGTAATTGAAGTATTTTGGATTGAACCCAGTGTCACTGAGCTATATTCCCAGCCCATAAATGATATTCTGTGTGGAAAAGTATTTATTGTGGGACTCTTTACAAAAGTTTGATTACTTTAGAAAAATTTTGCCTCTTTTTTTAGAACTCCCAGTATAAGATGGCGTTACGTCGCTATGCAGTTTGCACAGGTACTTTTTTAGATTTATTTTTTAACTGCCTAAGGTATGATGATTGGTGGGAGATGGGGACTCTGACTCAGAGTCATCATCAGTTATAAACAGATTATAATTTAATCTGTTTCAAATGTTGATAAATTTATGTGAACTGGGAACTCATGAATTCGGTGTGTTGAGATTGTGGAGTCTTTTAACAGTGTATGTGTGCTGTTTGTTTTACCAACATCAAAAGTAATTTTCTGTACTAAAAGAATTATATTAATTAATGTAATTGTATTTTATTTCGTTATTTCAGTACCTGAAAATCCTCCATTTCTCCCCCGGCACGTTAACAGAATCGTAAATTCCAGAAGATCCCATTTTAAGTTTTATTTTAAATATCCATTTGTAACATAAGTTCTTTTATAGGTCTCAAGTGGGAGGAAAAAAAAATAGGTTCTTAAAAAAATGCAGTTTAGCAAAGAGCGAAAAGTTATGGTAGAAACTAGGTTTGAGTAATACCTCTGAAGGATTATTTGTAGTGTTATATACTAGGATAAAATTAATATTTATATAAATATTGTATAATTACATAAATATTAATTTTAGGGTCACATGTACATTCTTTCAGAGGAAAAAATATCACCTTCCATCTGTACTTATTAGATTTTCATTATTATCTTTGTTATGCTGCAGGTTTTTGGTTGCCTTTTTTATGTGTACTACATCTTTGAAAGGCTTTGTGCACCATTGTTCGGGAACATCAAACAGGAGCCGTTTAGCGCTCGTGTTCTGGTCCTGTGTGTATTTAACTCCATCTTGCCAGGTAACATGGGGACTTGCTACTGTGGTCATTATATATTCAGAAGGAAAATAGAAAGCTATTGCATATGACCATCTTTGGTTTTCTTGACTTTTCTATGTGTTTATATACTTATCTATATCTTTACCTTTTCTCCATCTTGGAGAAGAAGTATTCTTCTAGTTTTAAGGCAGTGACTCCACTCACCTCCTGGTTTTCACTTAAAATTTACTTTCTGTCTGGTGGATGGTCTGTATTTATCCTTTATTAATTTATTATTTTTATTAGTATGTTGTGTTGTGTTTTGTTTCATCACTGGGAATCTAACTCAGGACCTTGTGCTTGCCATGCAGGCGTGGCACCACTGAGCTACAACCCCAGCCCTTTTATTAGTATGTTTGCAGTATATAATGATTACCTTCATTGTGAGAAATTGGTACACGCACATAATGTATCTCAATCCTCCCCTTCCCTTTCAGCCCATTTTTTAATAATTTTTGCCAGGATCAGATTTATTTTATAATCTTTATCAAGTTAATTACAATAAACACAGATTAACAGCCAGACTGATAGGCAAAATATATAAAACACATAAGACAATTATACTAAATCAAGGTATGCTTTTAGATACATTGGCCAAGTTGGATTACAATAACATTTGTTCTTTTCTTTTTTCCTACCATCTGTCTTTTATTTTGCACTTCCTATATATATTGGGTTTCTCAAATAAGAGAAGCCATGCAATATTTAATCTTATATGTCTGATTTACGTCATTTAACATATGGTCTCAAGATGTATCCATTTTCCTATAAATGACTCTTTTATCCTTCTTTATGGCAAAGTAGTGTTCTATTATGTATATATACCATATTTTCTCTACCCATTCATCTGTTGATAGACATACTTGCTACTTCCAAGACTTAGCTATTATGAATTGTGCTGCTATAAACATGGATATCACTGTAATATGAAGTTTTAACTCTTTTGGGAAGATACCTAGAAGGGGAATAGCTGGGTCAAATGGAATTTTTAATTTTAGGTTTTTGAGGAAGCTCTACACTGATTTATATACTGGTTTTACCAGTTTATGCTCCCACCAGAAATAAAGAAGGGTTCCTTTGTTCCCCACAGCCTCTCCAGCATTTATTATTGTTTGATTTCTTGATGATAGCCATTTTTTCTGGAGTAAGATGGAATCTCAGTGTTGTTTTAATTTGCATTTCTTGAATGGCTAGCAATGTTGAACATTTTTTCATGTATTTATTGGCCATTTGCATTTCTTCATCTGAGAAGTATCTGTTCAGTTCAAATGCCCATTTTTTGATTGGGCCTTTAAATTTGGGAGGGGATCTAAATATTTTGAGCTCATTGTGTATTCTAAATGCTAGTTCTGTGCCTGAGGTATAGCTGGCAAAATTGTTTTCCTATTCTGTGGGTTATCTCTTAACTGTGTTGGTGATTTCCTTTGTTTTTCCTTTACTTACGTGTCTTCAAGAGTTTTACCTATTTTGCCTTCCAACACATTGTTTTTGTTTTAATATTTAGATCCTTGATCCATTTTGAGATCTCATTAAATCTCTAACAGTTTTGGAAGTATAGCCATTTTGACTGTTAGTTCTGCTTATCTAGGATTGGGGACATCTTTCCATTTTCTCGTGTCCTCTTTGATCTCCTTTTTCAGAGTGCTACATTTTTTATTCTAGAGGCTTTTTACTTCCTTGGTTAGGTTAATTCTTACGTATTTCATTTTTTTTTGGTGCTATTATGAAAGACATTGTTTTCCTAATTTCTTTCTCAATGAGTTTATTATTGGCTTACAGGAATGTTACTGATTTTTGTGTGTTGACTTTGTATCCTGCTATGCTACTGAATTTGGTTATTAATTCTAGGAGTCTTGGAGTTTTTGCAGTCTTCTATGTAGAGGATCATGTCATTAGCAAATAATGATAATTTAACTTCTTCTTTTCCTATCCTTATCCTTTTTATTTCTTTCTCTTGCCTCACTGTTCTGACCAATGTTTTGAGAACTATATTGAACAGTAGTGGTGATAGTGGACATTCTTGTCTTGTTTCTGATTTTAGAGGAAAATCTTTTGGCTTCTCCATTTAATATGATACTGGCTTTTGGTTTGTGCTAGTTGGATTTTTATCATATTGAGATAACTTCGAAAACTTTTTTTTTATCATGGATGGATGTTGGACTTTGTCATCTGCTTTTTCTTCATATATTGAGATTATTGTGTGATTTTTATTATTTCTGATTATGTGGTATATTATATGTATTGATTTGCATATGTTGACCATCCCTGCATTCTTGGAATGAACCCTACTTGGTCATGATGTATGATCTTTTTGATGATTTGACGCATTCTGTTTGCTAGAATCTTATTGAGGATTTTTACATGTTCATTAAAGAAACTGGCCTGTAGTTCTCAGAGAATTTCTCTTTTGGTTGTGATCATTTGGGGTTCTATGGGCCTTACTTATGTGTATGTTTATTTCTTTCCCTATATTTGGGACGTTTTCTGCCATTATTTCTGAGAACAGATTTTTTATGCCATTTGTGTTGTCTTCTGATTTTTCAGTTATTCCAGTTATCTTAGATTAGTCTTTTTTTCATCATCTAGCAGCTGTTGGATCCATTTTTCATGTTCTCTTGTTCTTTTTAAGATGTCTTTGAATAGCTGGTCTTGAAGGCATCATTCATTGTCTTGTAGTTTTGAAATTCTTTTCTCATACTGGTCACTTCTGCTGCCCATACTATCAATATAGTTTTTTTCTGTTGGTACATTTTAGGTACACAATACAGTTACATTCATCATTGGGATCTTGTACCTTTACATGATGTATCTTGGTCTTTCAATATAAATTTATTCTACTGGATTTCTTTTTATTTTTTTTTTGGTACCAGGGATCGAACTCAGGACCTTGCACTTGTGAGGCAGGTGGTGGTACCACTGAGCTAAATTCCCAGCCCTCTCCTGGATTTCTGATTGAAATCTTTTCTTGGACTCTAAACTGGTCATTTGTGTTTTGTTTAGCTCATCTAGCTTTTTATTAGTGTCTCCTGAAAGCTCCTGGATCATTTTGATTATTGCTTCTGTTATCTGTGTAGTGATAGCTTCCGTGATCCTACTGAGTACCTCTTTGTTTTCTAACTTCCTGTTATTCTTTTGATTAATTTGAGTATATAGCTTATGCTATCCTCCCACTGCATTCCCCCTCAATTGGCTTTGGTGGAGTTGAGAGTTTTGGGAGGCATTTTGTTGTCCTGTCTTCTCATGTTTTTATTATTTGCTTTTTGTTTTGTTTTATGCTGAGGTTTGGGGATGCTTACCACATGAAGACTTTTTTCTAGTATAAAGATCTCTTTAGTTAGAACTTTTCAGTGATGTGTTTTCCATGGTCCTTTGCCTCAGACCTAAGATCTGATCACCTTGGTTGATTTGGGAGGGGAAGACACAGTATAATGAGCCCGACATGGAATTCTCTGGGAATGCACTCTAGGATTGTTATTGTCACAAAGGTAATCTGAGTGTTGGTTTACAGAGAAGTAGCAACAATTATGTGACCCTGGTAATATCAAGCAAATCAATTACAGTAGTATTGTCCAGGGCAAATTGGATATTCACATACCATAAGAACTAGTTATGTACCACTCTTTAACTATAGAGAAGAAAGGCACAGGTATGATATAAACATTTAAAAAAACCCAGGTATTGGGCTGGGGATTTAGCTCAGTGGTTCTGCTGTCTGCCCCCTAAGCACAAGGATCAGAGTTCAATCCCTGGTACCAAAAAAGAATAAAAAATAAAAAATAAAACCCAGGTATTGACTTATAGCTAATATGTATCAAATGTGACTACTGTATCTCTGATAATGGTAGAAAAGAATTCAGCAGTAATTTTATAGAGTAGCTTGGGAATGGGGTAATGCAAAAGGAAAAATTTGAAACCTTAAACTATATGATATGAGAATAAGGAGAGAGAAATGGTACAAAGGATCCTATTGGGGTATTGAAAGATGTTTATAGAATTAGGTAAAGGTAAGAGAAAAATAACTGATGAATAATAGAAGATAAAAAGAGGGAGAGGGCCGGGGATTTAGCTCAGTGGTGCTGTCAACTGTCTCGCAAGGGCAAGGTCCTGAGTTCGACCCCTGGTTAAAAAAAAAAAAAAAAAAGGGAGAAAAATAAGTATTGGAGTAAAAATGAGAGAAAAATGTTAATGGTAGAAAAATTAAAAGGAAGGAGGATAAAATTTTAAAAATACAAGACAAAGCTATAAGAAGCAAGGAAAAAGGACAAAGAATTCCTCAAACCCCAATACATAGGTGAAGAAGAAAACAGGAAAGAAAAGAAAAAAAAAAAAGTAAAAAAACAAAAACAATATATACACTTACCACTTGCCAGTACCATGACTTTCAAATCCAGAGCAACTCAGGCTGACCATGCCCTCTAGCCATGGGGGTGAGGCCTGTGTCCTTTAGCTCAAATCTCTCGGGGGTCTCTTTCCAGTCTGACTGTAGCTCCTTTGACCACAGCTGTCTCCGTGACTGTCTCTCACCCAGTTATTGTGGAAATGTAACAGTGCTCCCTGAAATTAAGCTGTCCTGCAGCTGTTCCAAGTCCTAGGTTCAAACAATAAACCCTTCCGTGAAATGACATCCAACCAAGCACTGCCTCCAGGGATATGATGGGTACTTGAACTAGAGTTATTTACCAGGTGTTGCCTGTCGAAGGGCCTCAGTGGGAGTAGAATCCTGCACTCTCCCTGCAGTTCACAGCACCTACTGGTCCAGTCCACCACCATGTTACTCCCTGAAGCCCTCTGAAGTCCCCAGCTTTCACTTTGTCTCTCGACTTGGTCTCCCTTTCCCACAAGCCATGAGCTGGGAGCCAGAGAGAAAGTGCAGACCGCCCCTTCCATTCTCTGCATTGTGTTCAGTCTCTTCAGTTTCTCTGTAGGTTTAATTTTCCTGTCAGATCCTTTCTGGTTCATGGGGATCTACTTCTTTCTCTTTTTTCTTCTTCAAGTTGCTATTTTCCAGTGTCTGAATTCCAAATCTCAGAGAGGCTGAGTTGTTGTTGGCTACCACTCTGCCATTTTCCTTTGGCTCCTTTATCTTTTCACTATTCAGTTCACTATAATCTTGCTCTTACTCCACCAGGCCACTGAAATACCTTGTTAAAAGTCACTTCTAAACTGAGTAGATTGTTTGGCTCATATCCAATTGGACCTTCACAAAGCATTGGATGCTCTGATCACATTTTGAAATTTCACTTGTCACTATTTTTTATCTTCTCCTGTCTTTTAGCCATACTTCCTCTCTTAGCACCATTGTTTGCTAGGTGCTAAACTCATTCAGTAGCATGCAAGATATACACAATCTGTATTTTCTGGGAGCTTGCATTTTATAATTTCTTTGACTTAACTCTTCCTCTTTACTAATTAAATGTCGGTGATGTTTTGCTGTCACTCTTCCTCTTTCTCTTAGATTTCTTCCAGTCATCCTTCTGGCTCCCTCATATAATAAACTCTATTATCTATCCCTATAGTGGAATATGTGTTACATACTTGGATGTCTTTCTCAACTAGCAGCAAATTCCTTCAATCAAGCATTGTGTCTAAAAGCAGGTTACATTCTATCCCATATTCTCTGGCACATAGTAGATACTCTATAAATAGTTTTTGAATAAGTGAATGAAAAAGGTAGATATATAAATGGACATTTCATAATATAGGGCAATATGTCCAATGTATATAAATTAAAGTGCTTATGAACTTCATTTCATAGAGATGACATTTAACACTGGATATTGAAAAATGTGTAGGCATTTGCCTGGCATATAAGTGATAGCAAGAATTTTTAAATAGCGGGATGATGTAAGCCATGGAGTATTTGGAATGTATTTTTTAAAAATTAATGTATCATCTCTGAAATGGGTAAACTAGAATAAATTTATATTTTATAAAATAATTCCAGCTAAACAAATGATGACATGTAGCTAATGGCTTAGTATGTAAGCTATTTGAAAAGACTCTTCATATTGTTAATCTTATTTTTAGGTGTGCTGATCTTCCTCCTTTCTTTTTTTGCCTTTTTGCACTGCTGGCTCAATGCCTTTGCTGAGATGTTACGATTTGGTGACAGGATGTTTTATAAGGTAACATGTCCTTGGACTCATCTTTCTTTTCAGATTTTACTTATTTCTTCATTGTTAAATATTTGAGCAGTGTTGACTCACATTACCAGCATTTTGATACAAACATTGTGAAATAATTTTCTTTTCTACAAATATAACTGATGTCAACTCTGAAATTCTGATACAGATAAAATTAGCTTCTCCTTTTCTTCTGCCTTTAATGTCTGCTCCTTAATACAGCGTATGGTTTCTGCTGGATCCTGTGAGGATATATTGGTGACTGTGGTAGGAAAGCATTTGTCCAGCAGGCATCATGGGACTTCTCTGACTGCTCATTCATTTGGAATTGGCTGCCTAGTCTGTTAAGAGTGGCCTCAGCAAATTAATCTGCTTAAGACTGTTGAGCAATTCATGAGGGAAATGTCTTTTCCCTCCTTTATTTTGAAAGATATTAATTCTGGTCAAAATAGTGGTCTTTTATGTCTGAAGTCAAAATGAAGCTGGAGAGTAGAGCCAGAGTGTGGCTCACAGTGTTCCACAACACTACCTACAGCCCTCAAGTTTTGTTATTTGGGCAACCTTCCGAGTATACCACTCCTTTCTCAAAGAAACAGTAAGTGTGAGTTGCACATTTTATGTCTAAATCTATTAGTCTAATCTTAAAATTTGGAACAAGGAATATATAAAGGGACAGTAGAACTTGGAGGTGGCTACCATCTCATTCCTATATAATTGAATCTTGCTGTTTATGATACCACCCAACAGCTCTTTAGTGGTAGCAGTTGATGTAGTCTTCATGATCTTATGAGTCCTTCATTATGTTCTAGCAGGATTGGGAGAAGGTTCCTGACAGTAGTTTAGGTGAACATTAGATTTAAATAATTCTGTATGTTCTGTATCTTTCATCATAACTTGTTTAATAATGAGACAAAGTGAATCTAGGGTCTTAATCATGTATAACACTAAAATAATGTTGTATTGAGTACTCATAGCCAGAATGCCTTAACATGTTCATGATGAGGCCATAATTCATATGACTTGCTGCTGGGTGGCTCTGATTTTTATGTGTCATGTTTCCACTGGCTTGAACCACTGGTGGTACATGCATGACTGTTCCATCGGGCAGCTTGTACCACTAGCGCTTCAAACAGATCTAATCACTTTTATTGGTCATATATGTACCACCAGTGGTACAAGCTTCCTGATGGGGCAGTCATGTACCATGGGTGGTTCAAGTCACCTGATGTGACAGTACCAGTAGTTCAAGCCAGTGGGAATGTGTTAAAGGTTCTTCTGACATCAGTGTATAGACTAACAATTTATAACAAAACACTCAGGGTTCTACGATATCTATGTATATTCTCTGGGAATATTCAAGGGCTTTGCTTTGGGAGTGTGTGTAATTTTATACCATTTCTTTTTTCCTTCAGGATTGGTGGAATTCTACATCATATGCTAATTATTATAGAACGTGGAATGTGGTGGTCCATGACTGGCTATACTACTATGCTTACAAGGACTTTCTTTGGGTAAGCAGCAAGATTTAGTTGATATTATTTAAAGAGTGGATATTCTTTTCAAGGAAGTTTTGGTATTGTGCAAACTGGAAGAAGTTATACTTAATTCCTCATGATAAAAGGGTGATACAGTAGTTTCCTATCTTCAGTTTTCTTGTAAAAAATTTACATCTAAGAACCATCCTGCTTTGAATAGTACTGCATGGAAGCCTGTATGTATAGTAATAATTGTATACTACCATGTTTTTGCTTATGCTACATAATTACAAAGTAAGAATTCTAGGAGGTCTTTGGAGGAGTTGAAATGACCCACCAGTTATGGATTATTTCTTATGAATCTTATAGTTAACAAATAATCTTCTTACAGTTTTTTTCATATGCTTTTGTTAAAAGTGGAGAAATACCTGTGTTTGGATTTACATCTCTAATCAGTCACACTTGTCAGTTAGACATACTTCAGAGCAGAATGTATTTAGAGTGATGAAATATAACCGTAACTCTCATGGTTAATGCTGGTATCTCTGGATTATAGTTTTTATTGTTAAGTAAGGGCATCATATGGCTAAGGGACAGTATCTTGTGGTGGAAACAACAGTGTATGTGATTGCTAGTTCTATCATTTATAAGTAAAATTTCACATACAGGTGAGACAAGTCTCTTCTCTTTTCTAAATCTTACTTTCGGAAAGGATACCTTCCCTATCTCTCATACAGTATCACTCTGAAGATTGAAATTCGATGTTTTTTTAATATATGAAAACTGTCTTGTCAACCACAGTAACACAAATATAAGTTCAATTAATTTAATTAAAAATTAATGTTTTTGAAAATACACCCAGGTCTTTGACCATTAATATTTTGGAAAATGGCCAAACATGTTTATGAGCATATGAGCATGTCTTTTGCAGTTATTTTAATAGATTTGGATTAATCCAAGGAGTAGACTTGAAAAGTCAAGCATAAATATCATTAAATAAATATCTTTAACGTGATAATCATGTCTTAATTACTTCATGCTTAATTACTTAAAATTTAAAAAAAATTTTCAATATTTTCTTATTACCTTAGTTTTTTTCAAAGAGATTCAAAGCTGCTGCCATGTTAGCTGTCTTCACTTTATCTGCTGTAGTTCATGAATATGCCCTGGCTGTTTGCTTGAGCTATTTCTATCCAGTCCTCTTTGTGCTCTTCATGTTCTTCGGAAGTAAGTATCTTGGTATGCTGTGAGTCCTGGGTATTAATGTTAACAGACAAAATTAGATAGGAAAGAAACTATAAAATCAATGTACAAAAGCTAAATAGTAGTAATACCATTGCAAGGCAGTATTTGCCTTTCTCGTGATCAGAATGTTGACTTAGAATAATTACACACAACTCTGTCTCAAGATGTTTATAATTTTTTTTTTTTGTATAAGATGTTTATAATTTGAAGTGAGAAAATGAACTAGGTAACCTCTTGAAGACCATTGCTAACACTGATTTGATAGACTATGAATCCTGATGGTATAAACAACACCAGTGTAAACACCAGCAGAGTGCACTTTCTGGAAAACTGACCATTTTTGAAGAGGTAGAGAGGGATAAGTTAGAATGTGAATAATTCTGGAAATATATTTTCACTTGTTCCATTGATGTTCTATTAAGTACTGATTGATAATTTCAACAGTGAATCTTCATTTTTACTTGTAGGACCAACGTCCAGGGCTAGGGATGTGACTCAGTGACAGTGTGCTTGCCTAGGATGCGCTATTCCTGGGTTCAATCCTCAGTACTGGAAAAACAAAAACAAAAAGACAGAAGGATCAATGTTAAGATTAAAACATATATATAAACAGTTGGTGCTCACTGTGATGATTAAATGATGATAGTGGATATTTGGGGTCTTTCATCTGATGGATTATGTTTTGATAACTATATGTTTTTCTTCTCTTATTTTTAGTGGCTTTCAACTTCATTGTCAATGATAGTTGGAAAAGGCCAGTTTGGAACATTATGATGTGGGCTTCCCTTTTCTTGGGCCAGGGAGTACTTGTTTGCTTTTATTCTCAAGAATGGTATGCTCGCCAACACTGTCCTCTGAAAAATGTGAGTCAATAAATTCAATTGGAATGCAGATTGACTTGTACCCTAGTGGGGTTAATGGGAAATATTAAGGAGATTATGGGGAGATTATGAAGAATTTGGCAAAAGGATGGAAAAATGATGTAAAAAGTTTATTCTCTGATCTTATTTTTCTTTCCTTAAAATTTCTCCTTTCTTTGGTTCAACTTGAACTGACCTAGTTCTTGGTTTTCTTTCTTATTCCTTTTCAGCTTTTTCTTCAGCCTTTTCTAGTTTTCTTCCTGTCACCTGAAAATCTAGGTATTCTCCAGGGTTTTTCTGATGGATATATGTTCCTACCACCTAAATATATGTATATATGTCACCTTTTTCTCCAAAGTAATAAACTCTTGTAAAATTGTCAGACAACATCGATAGGGGTAGGATTCCATTTCCCTTGATTCTTACTGTTTTACTTTGTTGTTGTTGTTGTTGTAATTATGTTTCAGTTTCATTTATTCTTAGAGCTTTGTTTTTTAGGTGTATATAGAAAACCCCCAAATTTGAGGGGTAGGGTACCTTCTTGATACATCTGCTTGGGTGTTTCTTTCTGGCACTTATAACTGAAGATCGGATTGATCAGATTCTTCCTATGCTTTTCTTCTTTCTTTGTAACCAGTCTTTGTTATGTAGCTTTAATTCTCCCTTATTTCCTAATGATCCCTTTGTGCATTTGAACTAATTGAGTCTGGACTCTTTTCCATGGTCATGCTGTGCTCTCTCTCTCTCTCTCTCTCTCTCTCTCTCTCTCTGGTGGTAGTGGGGATTGATCACAGGGCCTTTGCACTGAACTACATCCCTATCCCTTTTATTTTGAGACAAAGTCTTGCTAAAGTTCCCCAGGATGGGCTTGAACTTGTGATCATCCTACTTCAGCCTCCTCAAGTGCTGGAATTACAGTTATGCACCACTGTACCCAGATAATCATGTTGTTCTTTATACTCAGATTCCACGTCATCAAATCCAGTCTGGATGCTGCATTTTCCATGAAGCTTTTTAAAAATTCTTGCTCCCTTCTTTTCTATTTCTGAAGTTCGTACTTCATCTGCTTCTCCTTTAAGTACTTCAGTAATTTAAAATCTCATGGTATAGTCATTTGTGTACACATTTTATCAACCTTATCCTACCACTATTTAGATTTTAAGCCAAAAGTAGGGTTGTGCTAAAATAGGAAGATAGGCTGCCAAGAGAGATACTACCTATTTGAATTTGGTCCATAGTCCATGCAATTGTAAACTTCATGGGGAGCCTCTAAATTGAATAAGTTGGTACATACATAAAAATATTGAGTATCTTTTGAATTAGTGAGCTTCTTATAACTTAAAGGTCACTGACCTGCTAAGAGGCAACCTAAAAATATACCATATATAACATTAACACCTCTACGTACCCTGTACCTTGTACACAGTGAACACAAATAAACCATTTTTCTTTTCTTTTTCCCCATCATAGCCCACATTTCTGGATTATGTCCGGCCACGTTCCTGGACTTGCCGTTATGTGTTTTAGAAGCTTGGACTTTATTTCCTTCTTTGTCACTGAAGATTTGAATGTTCTGCGTTACTTGGGGCCAGCTGTTTCCAGCTGTTACTGAAGTTGGAACCACTCCAGCCTTTACAGCACATCGTGACTCACTCCATTCCTAGCACACCTGAAGCTGGGCTGTTGAACGTTCACTGGGATCTTGTATTCTTCTTTTTTGTGCCCCCCCCGCCGCCCCTTTTTGGGAGAAGGGAGACTTGTAGCTGAGGTTATGACAGGTTTTTGCTGGGTCATCTCAGCTTAAGCCCTTGTGATTTTATCTGTTTCATGAATCTCTCCAGTCAGAATCTAAACATCTCTCTCTCTCTTTTTTTTTTTTTGCCACTGAATTATCCAAAAAGAGTTATGAAAACAAGATCATTTAAGTACTTCTGCCTTAGAATTTTTTTCATGCACGTTATTGGAAGTTATGCTAATTAAGCATGCAATTGGGAAAGAGAGAGAAAAAACTTGTAACAGTTTTTGCTATTAGTAGTAGAAAGGGAAAATAATCCATTTTCCAAAGATAATCTCATTATATACCTTATTTTGTTTTTTTGGGGTACTGGGGATGGAACTCAGGACCTTGTGCTTACAAGGCAGGTGGCAGAACCACTGAGCTAAATCTGCGGCCCTATTTTGCATTGCTTTTAAAGGTCAAGTCTATTCAACTTTTTCCTTCTCTGTGCAATTTAGCCCACAATTTTTGTGGAGCAATTATCTGCCTTTCCCCTTGAATTCTTGAGTTTGTATCCATAATAATATATATTGAAGGGGGGCAGAGTAGGAAGGGAAAAAGAAGTAGCACAGAAAAAAATTTTTTTCTCATAACTTCCCAAAGTAGTTTGAAAAAAGACTTGCTGAGTCAGTTATGTGTTTAAAGTAGTTCCTTGTGTAATTTACATGGCAGATTTTTTAACTTTAATAACTTATTTGAAGTTATTTGGAAGTATCCTTTGGTACAGTTATTTTATTGTCTAATAAATATTAACTTGCCTTAAATTATTTTGCAGATTAGTGAGTCTGTAACATAAGTATTAATCAATTCCATTAATATGCAAGTGACCATTAAGGATCCAGAAGCAGGCTTCTGAAGTCTTTGCTCCATAGTTATGGTTTTAATGGTAGTTTATTTTTAGATGAAACAAATTAATATGTGATCATTTTTAAGGAAATATATTCTCTTTGTGATATTTCCAGGTTATAAGATGCCCACTCTTAATACAATGTGGAAGGTAGGGATTATTTTGTCTGACTGTATGAGTTATGATTGTGTTTGTAAAGACTGCACTGGAAGGGTTGTCAGAGACCAGGTAGTTCAATGTTCTACCCAAAGAAATGAGATTTATGAATTACTCAAATAGGTATTATTGATTGGAGCAGCTACAACTTTCTTGCATCTTGGAAGTCTTGTCAGAATTGTTCTAAAGACTGTTGGAGTCTCCCAAAAAGATAATGTAGTTTCATAATCGCAATGTGGACCACAAGCGTCCAGCTAAATCATCCATTTTATTCACCACACCTTTGATCCAGATGTGTTGAGGCACTTTTCAAACCTCAGCAACACATGTGTGCCCCAAGAGAGGTTATTTTTACAAAGGTATTCCATGTGGTCCCAGGAAGTAATGCTCTGCACATTACTGTAAGTGTAATGAAATTGTAATCTCCAACAGGACTGTTTCAATATACCTTGTAATGTCCGAAAATCAAAATGAATCAGTCATTTGAATCTTAACTACATTTGAAATATAATGAAGAAATAAATAGATCTAAGAGTTGGTTATGAATTAGCTAATCTTTTTGAAGCAAGAGAATGGATTTTTTTGGGGGGGGGGGTACTGGGGATCGAACTCGGGACCTTGTGCTTTCGAGGCAGTCAGTGGAACCACTGAGCTAAATCCCCGGCCCGAAAATGGAATATTTGCGTATACATTTCTGGTAGTAGTAAAATATGTACTCTCATGAGAGGACTTTGTTGTCCTGTAGTGATTCTGAATACTGTATTTGTTGGACTGATGCAAGCTTTTTTACTTCTTTTTTTTTTGGTACTGGGGATTGAATTCAGGACCTTGTGCTTTCGAGGCAGGCGCCAGAACCAGTGAGCTAAATCCCCGGCCCTAGTTTCTTTTTTTTAATGCAGTACTGAGGATCGAACCCAGAGGCATTCTACCATTGAGCTACATTCCTACTGCTTTTATTTTATTTCACTTTTAGTTTTGAGACAAGGTTTTGCTAAGTTGCTCAGGGTGGGCTCAAATTTGCAAGCTTCCTGCCTCAGCTTCTCTATAAATTCTGGGACTACAGGCATCCAGCACTGCACCATGTTGATTGAAGCCATTTAAAAAACAAAACAACAAAAACCCTCTCCTATTCCCTTTTATTAGTGATTTTTCTGTCCAAGATTTTAAGTGATAAGTGATGTGTGTAGGACTGTAGACTGATAGAATTCTAAGACTGTCCTAAGAAACTTTCAAAATCACACAACACTTAAAGGACCAGCCACTTCTTGTCAAAAATTGGTTTGATAAGTCTAATCTTATTGCTAGCTGCTTTTAGCAAGTCTTTCCTTTAGACTATCACCTACACTTCTTAAATAAAAAACTAAAACTTTTTGCTCATGTGTTTCAGGAAAATTAATTTATATTTTCCTATTATTCTAATGGGGTTAAAACTATTTTCAGTTACAAAATACTTCCTTCTGAAAATAATGAATTTAGTTTCTTTACTATAAGATATTAATGATAGTAACCATGATCTTGGGTGATTATACAAGAAAATGAAGTAGTTCTACAGTAATTTCACTTTCTCATTAGAGCTCTCATTTGATCTTTTAGTACCTTTATGTGTGGGATAAATGTACAGTACTAGATGCCTTTTATTCTCAGTTCTATGTAATAGTAGAAAAAATGCAGTAGCTAATAATTAATATAATTAATAATTTGGGAACAAAAAGAATAGGGAAAAATTTTTTGACCCCTTTCAGTATTTGCTAGATTGAAATTTGTGACAATGCCATTTTAAGAAAGTACAGCCAGGCATGGTGGTGCATGCCTATAATCCCAGCACTTGGGAAGCTGAGGCAGGAGGATCTCCATGCATTCGAGGCCAGCCTAACTTACATAGTGAGACCCTGTCTCAAAAAAACAAAACTAAAAAAAGTGCAATGTAGGAGGGCCGGGGATTTAGCTCAGTTGTTTTGCCACCTGCTGCACAAGCGCAAGGCCTTGAGTTGGATCCCCAGTACCAAAAAGAAAAAAGTACAATGTAGGAATTGGGGATGTGACTCTGTGCCAGGAGAATGTTCCTACTTTGCCCAGTGTCCTAGGTTCCATCCCAGCACTGAGGAAAAAAAGAGGTACAATGTATAAATAATAATCTATATTTGTAAACTGATTATTTTATAGAACAAATTAATTTAGTGTAAGCAGTTTTCATTGTAATTTTAAAATATACATGCCTGAAAAGTTGAATTTTTAATAAGGATTTATAGAAAACAACAGAACATTATGTTTCAGAGTTGCTCATTTGGTCTGCATTTTCCCAAAAGGTACAGCCAGGTGTAGTAGTGCATACTTAAAATCCCAGCACTCGCGAGGCTGAGGCAGGGGAATTGCTGCAAATTCGACGCCAGCCTGAATTACATGCTGACTTCAAGTCCAGCTGAACTACATAACAAGACCCTGTATCAAAAAACAAAAATAAATAAATAAATGTAATTAGTTGTTGATCGCTTATGCAAAAAAATAAAGTCTTGGTGTCATATGGATATAAATAGTTTTGAATAAAGTCTGGTTGTTTCTTGTGGAGGTACAATAGTGAAGATAAACTGATATAACTGCAGTAATGAGGTGGCCTGATAGTATAGTAGTTTAAAAATAGTTACACTTAAGTCCAGCACATAAAACAGACACATTATCTGCTCTTCGGGTTGAACTAGGTATAGTGGGCCTGCAGCAGTTCTTGCTTGGTATACTTATTCTCTCCTATCCGAGAATATCCAGTTTGAAAACCAGTAATGTAATGAAAAGAAAGCACAGGTTTTTTGTTTGTTCTTTTTTTTTTTTTTGGTACTGGGGATCGAACTCGGGACCTTGCGCTTTCAAGGCAGGCGCCGGAACCACTGAGCTAAATCTCCGGCCCAAGCACAGGCTTTTGATGAAGGTTCTCTAGTATTTATTAGCAATGTGAACTAGATTAAAGTTGCTTATCAGAGCCAGAGTTTTTCTCATCTGTAAAGTGGGGATAATAACTACCTCATAGGATTGTGGCAATACCCCTAGCAGAAATATGGCTTCATTATTTTCTTATTCATCATAAATTTGAAGCCTGACTTCTTACTGGTATTTTAAAAAAATCCAAATGTTTCAAATGCTGCAGACTCCCAAGAATATATGCTTTTCTTTGAGGAGACCTTAGGATGATGTGAATGGGCATTGGACCCTGATAGGTCCTAGAATTTACTGGTCGTTTCTGAAAGTGTTACGGGCACTCACTGGTGCTTCCATCTTTTTTTTTCAAAATTATTTTCAAATGTATCTGCTTTAGGATTAGAGTGGTAAACTTCTAAAAAGAAGTATTGCTGCTATTACCTAGGTATTCAAGTCAAGTATGTAGAACTAATGTGTATATTTTATAGCTCAGTTTTAGAATTTATGGAGAAGAAGGAAACCAGCAAGTTTTCATTTCTGCCAATGTAAAGAATGCTTACGGTCTTGGAAGACAGTATGTTTCTTAATGGAAGATACTTCATACTTTTGTTGATAAAGTGTGACTTGCTTACTGGTCTTTTGCAAAATTTCATGTAGTTTATGTAATACTATACACACTAACAAAGATGTGTCTTAGCCATTTTTATGTCTTAACTCTAGGCTCTGAAATTGAAGGAAACTGGGACATAAATATTTTGAGAAATACAATGAAGGTTGTTAGTGAAACTTTTGTAAGTTCTATCAGGTAATAAGAGTGTTGAAACCCTTTGTTGAAATAAAATGCTACGTATAACCCTACTTTATAGAGAAAGTACAATTAGTGGTGGAAACGGAGAGTGGAGCTCCTTTTCCTCACCCTAAATTTAATGCCTAGTTTGAAAATGAGACATAACAATAGTAAAATTAATAAGCTTTAGGTTAGTAGGACAGCTGTATAACCTATATAGTCTACTAAATACTTCATATTAAGTTTTTTCGTATAAAATGTAAAGGGTTTTGTTGGTTGGTTTTTTCCATTGCCCAGGCTGGCCTTGAACTACTGAGCTCAAGGTATCTCTCTTGTCACCACTTCCTGAGTAACTGGGACTACAGGTGTGTGACTTCATAACTGATGAGGCTCTTTAATAGCTAAGTTGGGCTTGAGAAAAAGAATGTATTTCAGAAGTCAGTTTGTTTTTAAATCCAACATTGTTTTGTATTCTTTCTTTCTAAGTGCTCATTCTTATTTTTACATTTATGTTTCTGCTGTGAATATGCCCTTTCCCATGGGGTGCTAACCTTCAAGCTAGTAGATACCGCACCATGGTCTTGTGCTGGTTTATTTTTCTATCTTTTTTTCCCCGGTACTGGAGGTTGAACTCAGGACCTTGTGCTTGCGGAGCAGGCACGGTGCCGCTGAGCTACATCCCCACCCCCTTGGTGGTATGTTTTAAGGAGACGGTAGCTGTACTTTGTTTTAAAAACCAGTTGAAAAGGCAGTTAATTCACCTAGTCATTTCAAGACACAGTTTGAAGTCCCATGTGCCAATGTGCCAGTTCTTGGGTGGAAAGAGGGCTGAAGCTCCAGTCAAGGCTTTGCCACTTTGGTCTGTGCAGCAGCTTCCTGTTATTACCTCTCCCTTTTGTGCATTAACCCATAGTGTTCTGATAGCCGTGGAAGGCTCACTGAAATCCAAAGTTGTTTTTAAAGGTTTTTTGTATTCAGAGGTCTCTTCTAATTCATACTTGTTTGCTCTTTTCTTGAATTCCTCTTCTTTCTTCCCCCTGCAAAACCTTATTTGCTTAACCACTGGTATGATGTCTTTATTTTTTATGCATTGTATTAGCATTATTCTAATTTTTAAGCTTTAAAAATATATACATACAGGGCCGGGGATTTAGCTCAGTGGCACTGTGCCTGCCTCGCAAGCGCAAGGTCCTGAGTTCAATCCCCATATGGGGGGGGGGGGATAAAATACTGAATATGTGAAGAGAATGTGGTAATAAATATATTTGGAAAAAACCTAGGCTGTTTTAAAAGCGACCTTTTTTTTTTTTTGGAGACAGGGTCTCCCTGTATTAGTTCAGGGTGGCCTTGAACTTGCTATTGTAGCAAAGGCTGACCTTGAACTCATGATGATCCTACTGCCTCAGCCTCCCAAGTGCTGGGATTACAGGCATGCACCACCAGGCCTGGCGTTGATGTTTCCCATTTAGCGAAATTCTTAACCTGTTCACCTTACATTTTGCTATGGTACTTTTCATCAGACCTTGTTATTTTACCTTGGTCTATTTTGGGGTTCCCTTTATTGGGGAGAAGGGTAGACATTAGTGGGGTTCAGGGACAAAAGTGTGGGGGGATCCAAAATAGCATGCATTACCAGTTAAGTAAAGAGACATCGATGTATTGATGTATAATACATTTATAATCATTTGTTAGCCCTCACACCTAAAGCAGTCCCACAGCACAATGACATTTTTTTTTTGGTATGGGGGATCAAACTTAGGCCCTTGTGCTTGTGAGGCAGGCGGTGGCACCACTGAGCAAAACCCCTGGCCCTACAATGACAAGGTTATTTATTTTTTTTTGACATCTTAAGGTTATACATTGTGCACATTTCTTCTGATAACTGGCCACCTGGCCATCTAAAATTCCAGAACAAGGCATAATGCATTCTTGGCTGCCAACGCCCACAGCCCAGTGATAGAAGAAAGGAAATGTTCTTTAATTAAAGACCCTCCTGCCTTAGTCTGGGCCTGGTTTAAATTAAGAACTTACCTTTCTCAATTTTCCTTTTTTGGGGGTGGGGGGGTGGGGTGCCAAGTAGTGCCTGCTAGGCAAGTGGTCTACCACTGAGCTAAATCTCCAGCCCCTCAAATTTCCTTTTGTAACTTCCTACATGATTAAAGCCCGTGAGGAAACACCATCTGAAAAGGACATGAAGACATTTTGCAATTCCAAAGTAACTTCTAAGTAAAATGTGTGGATAAGTATCGTAATTATCCCAAATGTATCCAAACGTACATTTGGTGCAAATGCCTTCTTGCTTGAAGGTGTAATTTTCTGTATCCACTTTTTAATAAATTCCACCTATTCTGCTAACCTGTGTGTCTTGACTGAATTCTTTCATTAAAGGGCACAAAGAACCAAGGACCAAGTGAGGGGCTGGTTTCCCATTAATACCTTGGCATGAAGTTACAGGAGTAGCTTCCCCAAGAATAGAGCTTGTCCAAGAATAACATTGTAATTTTTTTTTTTGGTACTGGGGATCAAACTCAGGACCTTGCGCTTGTGAGGCAGGCACCGGAACGGAACCACTGAACTAAATCCCTGGCGCTAACACTGTAATCTTTAAGAGTGGCTGTCTTGTAATGTTTATTTTAACCAATTTTTAACCTAGCCTTTGGTATTTTCATATATATATAAATATCAGTTATCCATTTCCACTTGGATGTTTCAGTAATACTGCCAACTCAGTATAGCCATAAGTCTAATACTGAACCTTCTTATTCCTGTTCTCAGTAAATGGTATGTATGATCACATACTTTTGCACAGGACAGAAAGAAAAAAGTAGTTTTTTTTTTTTGTCTCCAAGATGAGGTAACACCAGTTTTTCTAGGCTGGTCTCCAACACCTGGGCTCAAGTGATGCTCCAGCCTCAGACTTCCAAGAAGCTGGGACTACCAGGGCACCACTACTAAGTGCACTGAGAAATAATCTCTGATGTCATTTTCTTCACATTACAGATTGATCACTTCTCAGTTTCTACAGATGTTACTTTCTGTGTATCTCGAGCGTTCATTTATTTTTCTCTTTACTAATACTCAGAATTTTTGAACAGGGTTGAAAGAATGTAAAAGATAGGTCACTTTGTTCTTCTAGTACCTAAAGGCTTGATAAACTATGCATGGGCTGAAACTGGCGTTTTGAGACATCTGAAGTTCTACAGTGGCCACGGTTCCAAACTATAACGTGACGCCAATGAGGAGTGAGAGGGGCAACAACTTGGGGGAAATTACCCTTCGCCTTCTTGTGTTCACCTTGTTTTTGATGACTGTCAGTGCTTAAAAAGAAGTGCAGGGCCAGGCTCTCCCCTCAGCAAGATCTTTGTGGCCTGCACCGGATACAAGCAAGGGTCGTTTAAGAATTTGTTCCTAATATTGTTTTGAACCCTTTACCCATAGTTCTCATTGCCATTACTTTAAAAACCAGAGCCTTAATTCTGTGAACACAAAACAACATATTCAAAAGCGTACTGAAGAAGTTTGTCCACTGATTTCGTACCAGGGAATATGACGAGCGAATAAATTTTTTCTTCTGAAGTTCATTTTCTAGAGGAAAGGCAAGACGCTGAGATGCCACCGACATTTTTTGGCATTAAATTTGTCTTAACACTTAATGATCCCTAACACGCAGTCAAGAAAGGCATCCGGGGAAAGGTGGCCAGAAGCGCGAGTGTGGTCTCAGATCGGAGCAAATACAATGATCATATAGTCCCGAAAGTCAGGTTTAAAGCGAGAGGACCCGAGGACTCTGCCTGGGTTGGGCTGGGTTGGGTTCCTCCCTGAGGGCGTAGGGGCTGGGAGTGCTTTTCCTCACGCTCCAGGAAGGGCAAGCGTGTCTCTAAGGAAGCGGTGGTCACAACGCCAGGGTTCAGGCTTCGCTCCACTGACAGGAACCCAGAGCTTTTGGTGACCCAATTCTCCCGAATTTGGCGTTTAGAAAAACATGCAAGACCCAAAAAAGAAGGGACAGAGCAATAAAATGTTCACAAACTACCGGTACAGGCCGCTAAAATTTTCGTCCGGGCGAACTTGCTCGCGCCTGCCGGTCCGCCGTCCTGGTATCTAGACCCTGGGATTCCGAGACAATGGCCCAATTAATCATTTTCTTCTCTATTTCTATTGAAACTATGCTGTGATTTAGCACACTGAAAATCCGAGAGAGTGGGGATTATTTTTCACCTGTCCCTTTCTTCTGCCGGCACCGCCGAAGGCAGCCCCTATTGAGGGTTGCTAGGGCTCGGGGTCCTAAGTTTCTATGACGAAGCAAGGCATTCTGGGAAAAGGCGAAGCTCCCGGCGCTCGGCGGGAAACACAATTTGCTGGTACCGGTTGCAAGTGTCCGTTTCCCATTGGTTTAAATGAAGAAACGATGAAAGCCCTAGCGCTGCCAGACCCCTGGGTCCGCGAGGGCACTGCTTGTGAGAGAGGTTGGGGTCCCTAACTGACTGACTAGAGCGCGCCACGAGCTGCCGGCAGCCAGTGTGTAGGCTCAGCGGGTAGGGTGTGCGGGTGTGTCCTTCCTGGCCTCTGCCGCACCCTGACGCACCTGCAAGCTTCTGAGTCAGGACAGATGACCTAAGAGATCACAGAGGTCTACGGAAGAGGGATTCTGAAACCCCAATCTAAACATAAGCACTTTAACGAGTCTTTGTTTTGTTTTACCTACAGGAGAGTGTAGTAACCTGAAAGTGCCAGTAGCACACTGATTTATTTCTGAGTTATCTTTCTGGAGGAATATGTCACATTACTTAGAGTGACAGGAAGCATTATTATATCTCTCCCGAAAACGCCAACCTCACCGTTAAACTCCCCAGCATCTTATGACGCTAGGAAGTCAAAAGTGTCTGTCGTCAAGGAGACAAGAGGTAAACTTCAAGGATCCCAAAGACAAATGATTACAGTCATTGCTGGGTGTGGTGGCACATGCCTGTAATCCCAGGACGCTAGGAGGCTGAGGTAGGAGGAACCTAAATTCCAGCCCATTTTAGGCAGTTTAGCGATTTTTGAAACACTATCTCAGAAAACAATCAAAATAAAAACAAAAGAGGGCTGGCAATGCAGCTCAGTGCAAAGGCCCTGGATTTGATCCTCAGTACCACGCCGCCCCCGCACCTGCCAAATAACAGCCACTGACAAATCACAATCCAGTCACCATTTTTAAAAATCAGATTCTGGTGCTATATATATATATATTTTCCTTATCCTTTT